GTGGGAGTTCTGTGCAGCATTGGGAGCACATAAGGGGTGAGCCGCACTTACTTGGGGAACAAACAGCTGCTCTGGGAACGGTGTGCAGAATCCTTCCCAGTAGAAGAGTAGCGAAGGCCCTTCTTGCTCTGGCAGCTCAGCAGTGCTCAGCAGTCTCAGGAACACTGTCATATCAAAGAGCACTATGCTGCTCCCGTTCGGGTTTTAACATCTAGGGCCGCAGTTGGGTTCCTCCGTTTTAGTGACCTTGAGCTTAACTAGCAAGACTAGAATAATATAAAGGATGTTTGAAAACTGGGGTGACGAAAGCAGTATTTGTGGTGAGGGAAGCTTCATTGAAAACTAATGGAATCTGATCGACGATAAAACTGCAGTCATGTAAAAGATGAAATACTAGACAACTCTGAAGTCCTTGTTGCTCTCAGGAATACGTATTACTTGCCTCTGGAAACATGCTTCAGAAGCTTGCATTTGTCTTTGACTTGTTGAACAGGACTCCTGTGTCCGGCAGTCCCTGCGCTGCAGTCGGCTGACGAAGCTGATAACCCTCCAGCTGCATTTTCTCAACACGGGTCAGAGCACCATGCTGATCAACCTGAGCAGACAGAGCCTGGCGGACGCCATCATGTCCTTGCCTCGATTCTATCAGGTCAGCTTGGCTTCCTCATCTGGTTTTTTTTTTTCTGAAAATGATTGTTTTAAACAGCAGGTACTGAAGCACTCTGCTCCCGTGAGCATAATGCTCAGCTCTTCCATGTGGCCACCATGTCCCGTGACTATTAGCCCATCATATTGCTGCAGATCCTGGTGTGGGCTGATGCTTTTGGCAGGTCCTGCTGCCATCACACAGCCAGGACCGAGCGCCTCTCCTGTCGCCCTGAGTCTGCACTACAGCTATGAAATCTAACTACATTGGTGTCCATTGCTTTGTGAATTTGGAATTAAGAAAGAAAAGGGCTTTTTCAAGAGAACAACCCACCCCAACCCCTCCCCAACATCTTGTTAAGGAAAATCATTTGCAGTATTTTGTTAACCCTTGTATTTCTCTGTAACACCACTGCTCTCAAGACCAGCATCAAGAGACAGGCCAAACAGAAGACCTAGAATATTTAAAGTGTTCTAAGTATAGGAATGTTTCTGTGCAAGAACAAACTCTTCCTGCTGACTTCTCCCTGCAGGCAGCCATTGTGGCTGAGGCTTACGAGTTTGTTCCAGACTGGGCTGAAGTTCTGTATCAACAAGTGATCACCAAGGGAGACTTCACTTACTTCGAGGAATTTAAACAACAAAGACCACTGAAGCCTAGCATATTCGAGGAGATTGCTAAGAAGTAAGTAGTTGTATGGTCAAATTGGAACTTTCTTTTCCATGGACTACTTTAGAGGAGCAACTGCATGTTTAATAGCATGCAAGTCAGTACTGTTAAAGGCTTTTATGTGATAAAGTGTAGTATATAGGGACTTGAGGTCTGCATTCAGCTTAAGCATGTGGTGGAAATAACACTGGATCTGCCATTGTCATTGAGCTGGATAAATAAGGTGCCTTAGGGCTGGTCAGATCACATCTTTTTTAAAATGAATCGGAGCAAAATAACCAAGAGAATCTAGTGTTCATGTGGAGCACAACCTCTTTTTAAGAAATACAGTTCTTACAGTTCTGTAGCAAGATAGTCTTATAATCATTGTCTGGGCAGCCTCTCTATTTCAATTGCACGTACAATTATTTTCAGGGTTAAACAACACCCACCTACTGATGCTGCTCTGAAAAACCTGAAGAAACTGCTCACTTACTGTGAAGATATCTACACATACTACAGATTGGCTTACGATAACAAGTTCTACGATGTGGTAAATACGCTTCTGAAGGATGCACAGACTGGCTGTTGTCTTAATGATATGTTATCAAACTAGACTCCAGCCTCCATGGAGTAGAGACTGGCTCTGACAAGTACCAGTCCCACAGCTGCTTGCATGGTCAGTACTGATTCTTTAACAGATACTTTTATCAATTACCTGCTTACAATGATGTGCTGCTACGTGAAAGTTACTCCAGAAAACCGGCAGTGATTGTAAATATTTAAAATGCTGAGACTGTGTTAAACCTAAAATTGTGTTTTGTATAATAAATCCTACTGTTTACAAAATACTTGACTAACCAACAAATACAGGCTGGCACGGCTGATGATCCCAAACTGGTTTAGTTGGAAGGGACCTCACAGCCCACCCAGTGCCACCCCTGCCATGGGCAGGGACACCCTCCACTAGCCCAGGTTGCCCAAAGCCCCATCCAACCTGGCCTTGAACCCTGCCAGGGAGCCAGGGGCAGCCACAGCTTCTCTGGGCACCCTGTGCCAGGGCCTCAGCACCCTCACAGGGAAGGATTTCTGCCTCAGATCTCATCTCCATCTCCCCTCCTGCAGCTTCAGGCCATTCCCCTTGTCCTGTCACTCCCTGCCCTTGTCACCAGCCCCTCTCCAGCTTTCCTGGAGCCCCTTTGGGTACCAGAAGGGGTTCTAAGGTCTCCCCAGAGCCTTCTCTTCTCCAGGCTGAACCAGCCCAACTCTCCCAGCCTGTCTCCAGAGCAGAGGTGCTCCAGCCCCCTGAGCATCTCCGTGGCCTCCTCTGGACTCGCTCCAACAGCTCCCTGGCCTTGATGAACCAGAGAGATCCAGCAGTCCTTGCAGCTGGGGTGCAGGTGACGGCTCCACCATAGGAAGTGTAGCTAAATCAACAAAAGGCTGAAATAGAAGGCTAGTATATTCAGTACATTGGCAGTGAAATAAGCAGGAGAAAGTTTTAGCTGCACACCAGGATAATCCATTCTTTGAATCCAGTCTGATTAACCTTGGTTTTGTCTTCTAGCTTAGTGATAAAGTGAAAGTCTTGTACATAACAGCATATACTGAATGTGCTACTGTCTTGGAGTAAAAGAAGTGATCAAGTACAAGCGTTTCCTTACAGTTATTAAATTTTCACTCCTTTCCACACTTAGCCCTACTGGGCAGACAGTTGGCATCGATGCCCCATCAGGAGCCAGCGCGTCCTGCCATCAGTGCGGTTACAAGATCGCGTCTGACTGACCCGGGGGGGTTGAGACTGGGACGCTGGCTCAGGCAGAAGCCGTTTCAGCCTGGATCCTGCGCCCTGAAAGCGCAGCCTGCAGTCACCTCCCGGCCAAAGGAGGGGTGTGGGGAGGCTGACAGCAGACTCCAGCCTACAGCAGCTTTAAAGTAAAATTAAGCAGCGGTAGTGTACTATCACTAAACATTAGCCTAGCAAAACCACAATTGCCATAGCACTCTGTTAATTAGCAAAGAGATCTTAATTTGGATTATAGCTCACAGCCACCTGTTGGCTGCTGAACATTTTCACTGGCAACCACTGCACATGCCAGCCATTCAGCCCAACTCGCCATTGCACACCAGTACACCTGGTGCAAGTCACAGCTCCTCTGCTGAAGAAAATGGTTTATGCAGGGAGGATCATGCCTGAGCAGAACACGAGTTACAATTCCAGTTCTCGTCAGTCTCACAAGACCAAATTAGACTGAGCTGGCTGTGATTAGGCCAAGTTAAACAATGGCTAACAAGCTTTTAGCTTGAACTTTAAAGCTCCAAGCATGAAAGGAGAACTTCAAGCTATCCTCCTGAAAATTACCATCCCTGGTCCTTTAAAAATTTGGGACCACTAACAGCAGGAAGAGTCTGGAAGCACACGCACATCCCACCCACACTGGGAACAACACGCATGTAAAGTGCAGGCTGTACACGTGGGACTGCTTGCAGTAACAGCAGCTGCCACCAAGAATAAAGCAACAGCTCCCACTGCCAAGGGCCACCCTGAATCACTCCTAAGGTAAGTGCAACCTGCTGAGCTCAGCAGTCCCCACAAAAGAAAAGATTACGTTCCTCATGGAAGACCCGCAGTATGGCAGTCCTGGAGTACGGCGGTCCTGAAAGGCTCGCGTTTACCACCAGCATTGCTAAGGCTTACATAAGAAAGAGATGTTTTACGGGAAGGAAATCTTGCCCCTCTACCACTAGTTAATCTGGATGTCGGAGCAAGGGCCAGCCCTCGTAACACACCCAGCACAGCTCTGTTTCACAGCTCTACCCCTTCAAGTAGCTTTACTCTTAAGATACTAAAAGAACTGGTCCAAAGGCAGCCCTAGTGAAGTCCTCAATAGTGATTTTTATTAAATTAGTTGCTTTATAAAACATTGCAGATGTCATAATTGTTAACATAACAATTTGCCCAACTGTAGGAACTGTTGCAGTTTGCTAAGCAAGTTGTTTTTTTTTTTCAAATGAAAGAAAACAGCTGAGTTGTGAAGAATCTATCACAACCCATGAAAGACCAAAAGGAAGTCTTGGTTGGTTTTTGTTTTTTTGTTTTTTTTTTTTTTTTTACACTTAAACCAGGCAATTAACTGTTAAAGAATACCCAACCCATACAGCTGCATTAGTAGAAATTTAGATGAATGGAAACTAAACTTCGTACTCGAGACACAAGTTGGTTCTTTTCAACTCTTGCCCTGACCCCGCGCTCAGCCCGGAGGCAGCAGGTATCTCGAGGGCTGCGTTCCCAGAGGAGCACGCTCTCCCTGACAGCAGCCGTTCCCCTCCCCAATATGCTGAAAACCTCAAGCTCTAACTTAAGAGAAAGCAATCAGAATACTAAGCGCACACCACGCCCGTGCTGCAAACTGCTTTTGTTCATCAAACAAGTCATTCAAGGAGGTACGTACAGTTAAGGCCGTGTCACTGAACTGTGCTGGTAATAATACTTTGCCTTCTTGAAATCCATTTCCAATTTAGTGGCTGTTACTATAAAAACCAAATAGCAACAGTTACCATTATCAGAGTTTTGGGTTTTGTAACTGCGATTTACATAGCTTTTAAACGTCCTCATTCTAACCCCAACCACAGGACAGGGAGCCCGGTGCTTTCGCACGGACCCGTCAAGAGTTAAACCACCAGCACAGAGATACTGCAATTCTGATTGTAGCATTTGGCAGAATTTAAAGGAAGAAAAGTTGTGCTACATGTTTAGGGATTATGGGCAACAGAAAGACGACAGAAGGGGAGATAAATGTCACATGAAGTCTTCAAAGTCTTGTACGTATTCTCCATCATATCCTCCATAATCAGCCAGGTCATCTTTCATCGTAGCCTTTAAACCGCCTCCAGGCACAACACCCTTTTTCTTCTTTTTGGCTTTATTCTGCTTAAATAGGAAGAGCATGTTTACTTTAAAATCCACAGTGATTTGTCATTGCTCTAATTAAGAGTCCTGAGGTACGAGCATTCGCGTGCCCATGCAGTGAACACGCTGCCACCAATTTCTGCTGCCGCGTTCCATCCCCCAACGCCACCCATTCCTAGTCCAGCTGTGCCAGCATCCTGCATCCCCACATCCCACGTGTTGTCATTCGTCCTGTTGTGCCTAGACTCAATCGAAACCAGCAGTAAATGCAGAGTCTAGTGCTCAGTTTTGTGAAATCACCAACTGAACTAATGGACGTGAAGCACCAGGAGAGAAGAGCGTAAGACCAGGAAATATACGTACTACTTCTTTTTAGACTCGTTTGGCTCAGTAAGTCCCAGGCTTCTCTCCAAAGCACAGTTTGTCTTAAAGAAAAGTTTATCACGTTTGCCGACCCCAGACTTTCACATTAACACTGTCCATGAAGTTTGGTTTGCGTTAAGGTGCTTTGCTGGCGCCTGGGGAGTCAGAACTGGCACCCCAGGAGAACAGTTGCCGAGGTTTCCCCTTTCCCACTTACAAGTTACTACTCCCACTGACAACGCTCTGCTATTTGTTTCCTAACCACCCTCCAATTTGATGTAACACATACCAAGAGAGTTGCACTGCCAGTCATATTTTCTGCTTGCTTTTGTTGCTATCTAATAATTCAATTAATCACTGAATTCCAAAGGAGTTTAACACAGCTGTATGCTATAAACCACAACCTTTTACATCACAAGAGCATCGGTTAAGCTATCACATCACCTGTTAAACTTGCCCCCTTCCTTGCCTATGCAGCTATTGCTCCTTTAGTTTGCATGGCAGCACAGAAATCCCAATTATCTGCTAATCAGGATCCCAAACCCTGGCACAGATTTCAGGCACTTCCACAGACCAGTGTTTCACCGATGCTGAACTCTACATGTGGTGTAAAAGGGAACAAGGTTAGCATAGAGGTGTAAATTCATCACGGTTTCACCTGTGATCACTAGATTCAATCAACTCCTGATTACCTCACCCAGCGAGGAGGATTTAACTCTAACCCAGGGTTATCGTTTAACCTCCTGCTACCACCAGTCACAGCATCAGCAGCTCAAGTCAGCGCGAGACCTGTTCCCCATTCCAGATCAGCACCGCTAGCGGGTATCGTTACTGAACACGCAGAGACCTTACCTTTTCTTGTTTTTGCTTTTCACTGCATAGTACTGTCAAAGTATTTGTGATCTTTTTCAAATCATCAATTTCCACTACATCACGGGAAAAAAAAACAAAAAAAGATTCCTCAGCACAACAGTCTCTCAGAAGGCAGTGACACAATCTGACATCAACATTCGCTAAGAAGCAGAAATAAGCATTAGCAGTAAGTATGGGCAATTACTTGCTTTAAATCAGCAAATACTGAGTATATAATTCTGGTCTTTAGAATCACAATTACTATTTCAGACAGTCCCTGATAAAGCAGCTTGAATGCTGCAGAAGGTAAAACTTGTAAATTAACAGGGAATACAAAAGTCTTCATGAGAAGGCATTTGAACAGTAAAATACGGATACAGTGAAATACAGTAAAGTCTATCAAAAGGAGCAGTGGATTAACAATAAATTATTGTTATTAACAAATGGCCCAAGAGGTTGCGAGTCCTTCACTTCAGAAGACCTGGAACCCCTCTGAAATGGAAGCCACCCGCTCCAACCAGGAGCTATCGCTGTACTTCTACAGCACAAAGTAGTACCAAGTTACCACCTCCCTGAAGGACAACGCGCAGCATAGGGAAA